CTCGAAGCATCCACAACTCACCACCTGCCGTAAGGTGGAAGCTGACCCAGCCTGGCTGTTCTCAGGTCTTTAACCAGGCTGACATTGCCTGGAGTGTATTAAAGTACAGTCACGAAATCAGCTCCGACAGCGGCGCTCTACAGGTGGCAAAGCAGCTTGAAAAAAGAAGAGCTGTTCACAGCTTACTTCTCATTCATATTGGCAAAGCTCAAGCCCAGTGACTGCTTCATACTGCATCTTCTGCCCTCAAATAAAAATACTCACTGCCTCTTAAGTCCTGACAGAAACAATACAAAAGGAAAGGAGGGGGAGGAAGTGTGGATATGCACAGATAGAAGCTAGGACAGGGGACAAGTGACCCAGAAGACCTCTAGTATAAGGTTAGTGCATTGCAAAAGTCATATTACTATGAATAAAGTGCAAGTGACCTGTTTTTTTTTTTTTTTAAATCAATACAGCTTGTCAATTTAATAAAATTATAACCAAAAAGTACAGAACTATGTTATGGAAACCTGAACCACATTCCTAACAGAGAGCATAAATAAACCCAGGGGAAGGGAGCAGCACCCACAGCCCTGCCACAGCTCCTGCAACACCTGGGAGATGCTGCAGTCCCCTCCTTGGTACCTCGCCTCTACCACGTCCTCGCTCTCCTTCTCCTTAAGCGTCTGAATTGGTCTTGGTACTCAGAAACACAAGGACGAGGGTCACGCTTTTGCAAACACTTCTTTATGTGAATAAAGTCATATGCATTCCTTTAGATATAAAGTTAAAGGAATTTGCTGGATAACACCACGGAGCGCTACCAGGTTCACAGACAGAAAAGCAGTCTGTGAACCTCACGGCAGGATTCACGGTAGCTCAGAGCAGCGCCCTGACAAACCCCGACTGGTCCAGGTGTACCTGCGCAGCTGTGCCTCCAGCCTTCGGTTGTCTGCTGGATGTTATCCTTGTTTTAGCTACCACCTGTAACTCAGGAGAAGCACGACATGAGCCCTGACAAGCCACTGCGATACGTGCCAACCCTTGTAAACCTTCAGAACAGAGGCTTCATCTCCGTTACCGGTACAAAGCAACTGGTAGATTTGTGGCAGCTATCAGAAACCAGCAAGGCATAAATAAACAGAACAATTCTAATGCCAAGACTCTACAAGTAAAAACAAAGTTATATTCTGCTCCAGTTACTCGCCTCCCCAAGACCTTTCACCAATCCAAGGAAGACAGAATTTAATCTATTTATTTCTAAGAGTAAGTGAGAACAATTTTAATGCGTTTTTATATACCACAGAGAAGTGCACAAGCTTATTTTCCTCTCTTAGGCCAGCGTTATCACGAGCATTTTATTTTAATGAAATATAAATGTGCTTTCCAGTCAACAGTGTTACTGAGGTCTATCAAAGCTTCAGGATTGCAGGCATTAATTTTACTGTTTTCTACATTTTTAGTTTTATTTCGTTTTCAAAGAAACTAATAATGCTGAGTTCTCTCTGCAAGAGGGCTCTCAGGTACCTATCTACCTACTTACACCGTGCTGATCGGAGTGGTATATGTGCAACATACATTTGAAACATGAAAATGGAGCTTTCCTCCACTGTGTAGAAGGAATTTACTCATTTTTCAGGTATTGCATTCTTCCTTCAGCCATCTGTCAGTTTTATATTCCTCTCATATTCTTCACACACACAACAAAAATGAAAGAATATCTCTTGAGGAAAAGCGTTCTCCTCCACACCCTAGAGAATTTTTATCTTCTGACGTTCTCCATCAAGTCAGGTCCTGTACTAGCAAGGATTTGATACACTGCCCTACCCACATAAGGGTCATGCCTCTACCGCGGTTTTCAAAGCATTTTGTCATTAGATACAGGCAACGTATAACCCTCTGAAATGAAACAGCTATTCTGATCCAAGAATTGAAATAGCTGTAATTACCACTTTTCATATACTGAACTACTACTAAGTACCTAAGCTTCATTTAAAAAACTAAACTATTTCACCCAGGTAACCAAAGGCAATGTTTCCCCTCTCCAGGCACAGCAAATCTTAATACTTTGACCTTTTTCACCTCTTGCAGAGGAAGATGTGGTGTTTGTGTGCTTGTACAGCAATTTTCCTGCATTGTAACCCAGTGATTACTATTACTGTCCTAGACAAATAATATTTAAAGTTTTAATCAGTACAATTAAATCACTGCAATGTGTCTCTCAGAGAGGGCAGAGGTAGATCCAGAAATTAAAGTAATTCAGGAACAAATTACACGGTCCTTAAATCAGGCAAAAATACTCATTTTCGCTTTTACTGGCAGCACTAACCACACATCTAGAGGAAATATTTTGAAATACTATAATTTAAAAACCCAACGGACCACCAAAACATTACAGGAACTCCTGCTCAAGGGCTTTGGTTTTGGGGGCTTCTGATCTCCAGGAAAGCTTTCAGTAAATGAAGAGATTACGCCTTACACTCAAGTCCTGCTCAGGTTAGGAACCTTGCCTATAGCCCACACTCACCACTCTCATGAACGCTACGGCGTGCGTGCCAGGCGCCCACGCCATTCACACCAGCCTGGAAGCACGTCAGGGCAGCTGGCCCGAAAGCCATGTTCCACTACTTTCATGCCAAAATAAATGCTTTGTCTGACCTTTGTTGGTTTATTTCCTGGAATTATACACAGTCTTGGACAAGGCTGGAAGAACAATATCTTAGGAAGATATTGTGGCTTTCAGCTCCATAAGTATTTTCTCTGAAATATGCTTCATTTCACCAGGCACATGGCATGCCATAGCTTCATTGCTAACTGTAACTGTTATGCTGTGAACTTAACCATCAGCAATTAAATAAATAAGCGTACTCCACCACCCTAATTCACTCTGCTCCTACTGTAGTAAAGCCGTTAAGTTAAATTAGACCTTACAGCTATGCCTGATCATGTAGCCATTTTTCATGCAGTAGTCCAACATGAGGCATAAAGAAATCCAAATTTCAAGAACAAGTGTACACTAGTTAAACTGACTAAAGAGATATCTTTTGTTCAAATCTAAGCTGTTATTGTGTTTACATTAATGTATTAGGGAGGGCTGGTTGGCACTTCAGAGTTCTAGAAGGAGTTGTGTTTACTTAAGAGTGTGATTTTTAACTGAAATATTTCTACCTGCTCAACCTGGCTAACAATTATCTTGGTATAAAGGTGATTCCAAGAACTATCCGCCTTTCCCGCTTTCATCTCCTGCCACTCATTTCCTGATCCAGCAACACCCAACACAACCATTTGTGTAGCCACATATCGAAAGGAAATGAGGGGCTAATTCAGATTAAAAATAACCTATTTGGGGGAATGTTCATGCAGTTCTATTAACAGTTCAGACAAATACCTCAAAGCGCATCAGCTGTGATCTCAATTCCTGTCAAAATCACTGAAGTCGCAAGAGGTGCTCAGTGAAGTCAATGAAAACACTCCCAAAGACCTCAATGGCTTTGAGAACCTGCCAACAACTTAAGTCAACTCTACATTTGTTTTACTCCAGAAATACATTCAACTCTCACTTTGCCATAGGGGTGTAATTCTGGCTGCAGATTAACTGTGCTGTAGATGAAGACACCAGAGAGCCAACCTGTGCAGAGTCAGCTCTGGTCCAGCAGGTTTGGTCAGCTCCTGTGCAGGCTCAGGCAAACCCAGCGCTGCTGCTTCCACACAGCGCAGCAATGCAGACACCTTCTGCAGCTGGTTGTGTTAATAAATCCCAACAGAGCTGGCCCAACCATGTGTTTCTTGTCTTTGCAGCATATTGCCAGCTTTTGCTGTAATACTCGTATTCTCAGAGCTTTTCAATTATCCATTCACCTTTCCCTTTTACTGCCCTGATAACAGCCTTGCCCATACAGTCATCCGGATGTACTAAACAAGTCTTCATGAAAGAACACCCTCGTGCATAAATTTGGCCTTTATGAACTTAGAGAATTCAAGAGCAGTATGGAAACCATAAATTCAGGAAGTGATTCAAAAGCCTCCAACATCTGAGGGCAAAATACTGATCACTGGTCTAATGAGTAAAGAGCGAGTGAGCCCTCCTCATTTTCTCCCATGCACATCCCTACGAAATGCAAAATTTTGAAAGCAGAACTATTCAATATGTTCAACTAAAAACTGCACTATTGGCCAAGAAAGAAAGAAAGAAAAAATCACTCAGACTTTCCTAATCATAGGAAAGGAACAAGCAACGCAAAGTTTTGGGAGAGATTCACTGTTTATACTCTTACATGTACACACCACTGTACCTTTATGGTTAGCCAAACCAAGGTCAGAAAAATACACCCTGTACTGAGAAATTAAATTTCGGATGATCCTGATTCCTACAGGTGATCATTCCACAGTCTTGGACTAAGCCTTGGAAAATGTTGTATAATCGTAATTCATATTCAACAGAATAGTCGAGGTTGAAAGGAACCTCTGGAGATTACCTGTTCTTAAATATCAGAGGTTGATAAAGAAAAAGAGAACACAAGATTTCAGGCCTACGTTAGTTAGATTAAAATTTTTGCTTTTTTTTTTTATTTTAGCATACAGCAACGCACCTGACTGGGCAGCTAAAACACATCGGAGATGGCATGAAATACTGGGCCATAAAAAATATATCAAAATCATCAGCTTATTTGTGTTACATGTAAGTCAAATAATCACATAAGCGTCTTTGATACAGTGCAAGCTGAGCGAAAACGATGACGCTGGCCAGAAAGAGCCTCAAGTTCACATTTGGAACTGTAACACACTCAGATTTTATCAGCTAGGTCATTAGATGTGAAAAGCTAGGGAAAGCAAATCTTGACAGTAATTGCATTGTGCTGTATACAGACTCTCCATTAAACAGTGCCCTCAGTGAGCAATGAGGTCTGCTTTCTTTGCTTCCCAGTGTTAATAAGATGCCAATGAAAAAATCAAATACTTCAATAAATGACAAAAATGAACATGTTACAAAAACCTCTCTAAAGTCCAGCTTGACTCACCTGACTTTCTTGCTTTCAAGGCAATGACAGCAGCCAGTTCTCTCTGTACCTAAAATATCAGGAAAGGAGAGGATGGTTATAGTTACCAATATATAGTCAAACAGAAAAAAATGTAGCATTGGTAAGATATAGGCTATCAATCATTCAGAGCAGTCAGCTGCATATGGAATTACACATATGCTTGGTTTTGAAACTACATTCACTGTTTCCAGTAAACCTATTTCCTTTTCAGCTGGGAATTCTGTGACAACTATTTTTTAAAAACTTTAATTTTATTTAAATACTGTGCATTCCTTAGGGAGCGAGCAATTCAGTAGCCTGACCTATAACTTATTTGCTCGGCATATATCCTTCACAAGCACACACTTAAAGCTCCTTCCTTTCCATGTCAGATGCTTGTTTTCCCTCTGCTGAGCACACTCTACTGCTGGATTTATTGTGTGACTCCAGGATAAGGCAAGTTGGCCATGCTGAGGTTTAGCTGAGGTTCATGTGTATAATTGACATTTGGTTTTCGGAGTCTTCAGCAG